GGACAGGTAGCTCTCACACCCTTAATGCTAGCATCACATTCTTAGTTCCAGTAGTGCACACCCTAAATCCAGCCACCTCTGTAAAGCCCCTCCTTTGACTGCATGAGGCTTTGTAGAAACGTCTGGATACGAGCCATAACAGCAATTTAGGGTCACCCAAACTCTGTGCTCAGGGCTGCATGGAGCTTTGCAGATTAGCAGGGGCAGCCTGTGCTGACCAAGATAATACCTTCTGTAACTTGAGGGCTTTTTTCCCCTTACATAATATATCTTTTCAAATTAACGAGTCATGGCAGGCTTATTTTCCCCCCCATTGGTACCAGGAATGGAACTCAGGAACTCAGGCTTGCCAGGCAGACTCATGTCTGAGCTACATTTTGCACCCCAGGGGAGGCTCATTTTTAATAATAGTGTTACAATGTTGAGATTTTTCCCTCTTTTGTTTTGTTTTTGTTTTTAAGATAGGGTATCACTGTGTGTAGTCCAGGCTGACCTTGAACACAGTGTGTAGCTCCAGCTAGCCCCCAACCACAGGGATCCTCCTGCCTCAGCCTCCTAATTTCTGGGATTGCAGGCGTGTGCCACCATACCCCGCCTTTTGTTTGTTTTTTGAGACTGGGTCCCATAGTTCAGGCTGGCCTTGAACTCACTGTATAGCTCAGGCTGACCTCAAACTCTCAAGGCAATCCTCCTGCCTCAGCTTCCAGAGTGCTGTGATTACAGGTGTGTGCCACCACATTTGGTTCTTTTCTTTTAATAATGCAAGTCATAGATGACTAGGTTATAAAACCTTGAAATATGAATCAGAGTGTTAATGTTACTCTTTTTATTGCTTCCTGCCCACCCATCACACACTCATAGCAACAATTGCTTGCCTTACTAAAGTTCACATTAAGTTTGTGTACCCTCTGGTGTGGTTCTGTGCACTTATGTACCTTTGTAGGTAGTCACAGTAGGCGGTACCATAGGAAATGAAAGCCCTAAACTATTCTATTACTTCTTCAGTGGCAGTGAATTGCATGATGATTTTTGTTTCAGTTAAGTAGTTATACTGTACTTAAAATTCAGAAGGTATTTTGAAGGGTTGGAAAAAGTATACAAGGAAATCAAGAGTGCATATCATTTAGGCAAAGTAGTAGCCCCACTTCTTTAGAGCTAGACAATTTAAATAATTTTTTAGCTGAGCATGGTGGTACATGCCTATAATCAAAGCATTTATTTAGGAGGCTGAAGCAGGAGAATTGTGAGTTCAAGGCCAAATCAGGTTCGAGGAGAATTTTTTCTTTTGGGGGTGTCCTGGGGGGTTGAACTTGGGACCTTGCACTTGTGAGGCTAGTGGCAGAACTACTGAGCTAAATCCCTGGCCCAAGGAGAATCTTAACTATGTAATGAGACCTTGTCTGAAAAAAATTTTTTGTTGACTTTGATTTTTCCTTAACCTGGTATTTGTAGTCTTGAGGTTTAAATGTGTATGTCTTTGCTGGGCATGGTGGCGCACGCCTATAACCCAGCACTTGGAAGGCTGAGGCAGGAGGATCTCTGTGAGTTTGAGACCAGCCTGAGCTACATAGTGAGTTCTAGGTCAGTCTCAACTACATAGTGAGACCCTGTCTCAAAAAAACAAAAACAAAAACAAAAAAAAGAAAAAAATGTATATGTCTTTATTATTTAAATGTATATGGTCTTATTTTTGTTGTGTTATAGGAAAATATGTAGAGATGCTATTTAGTCATTTAGAACTTGATATGATCAGAGATATTAGGCTCTAGCCAGTACCCTAGTTGGAACACTGAACTTCTACAGTGGTATGAGTGAGCAGGCATACTTGAATGTACTGTTTGTATTTTTGTCATTTAGGAAATTTCCCTACTCTTATTTGGCAGTGTATGTCAAAACTTAAAACTGTAAAAACCTTCCGTTATTCTGACAGTCTTTTTTATTTTGTTTTGGTACTGGGGATCAAACTCAAGACCTTGCACTAGTGAGGCAGGCACAGTGCCACTGAGCTGAATTCCCAGCCCCTGAGAATCCTATTCTTTATCCTAAGATTAATCAAGTATGTAGGAATGTATTTTATAAGAATGTTGGGCCTGGGATTTATTTTAGCTCAGTGGTTCTGCTGCCTGCCTTGCAAGTGCAAGGACCTAAGTTCCCAGTACCAAAAAAAAAAAAAGAATGTTTACCACTCCAGGGATTTAGTTCAGTAGCGCCACACCTGTCTCACAAGTGCAAGGTCCTGAGTTCAACCCTGGTACTGGACAAAAAAATAAATAAATGAATAAAAGAATGTCCACCACTATACAGTTAGACCTCCTTACGTAAGACTTCCAGCAGAGCAGTGAGAGTCTCCCATTACTTGATGAATGTTTTTTTTGGTTCTTTAAAAGAATCATTTACTAATCATAGGTCTTTGAATCTGATACATTAAATGTGTTCCTACACAGTCTGGTTTAGAAAAAAACCCTACATCCGGAATCTGGAATGTGACCCTGAAACTTTGGCATCTTGTTATTCAAAGCCTGCAGAACAGGTGTTTATGAAGTGAGGAGTGTAGAGGGGGCTGGGGCGTAGCTCTTCTGTAGAGCACTTGGCTGGCATGTGTAAGACTCTGGGTTCAATCCCCAATGGAGGCTGGGATTCAGCTCAGTGATAGAGCACCTGCCGACCATCACTGAGGCCCTAATTCAATTCCCAGTACTGCAAGAAAAAAATAAAAATAGAGATCACAGTAAAATAAATAGAAGTGATACATTTCTACCCTTACAGAGGTAGTAGTGGCACAGACCTGCAATCCTAGCACTCAGAAGGCTGAGGCAGGAGGAGCACTGTGAGTTTGAAGTGAACCTGGGCTACTTAGTCCAAAGAAAGCCTGAACTGCATAGCGAGACCCTGTCTTAAAAAAATAGAAAAGAAAAGAATGTAGACTCTGGCCAGCAATGATGGCGCATGCCTGTGAGGCCAGCCAGAACTATACAGGGAGACCCTATCTCAACAAGCAAGCAAGCAAACAAAGAATCTAGACTTTGGGGTTAATACTGGATTTACTTTAGCTCAAATTCCTGCTCATACACATACACCAAATTCATTTTCTTTATTGGTAAAGTAGGGATAATAGTACTTACCTGGTAGGAGTGGTTGTAAGGATAAATTAATGAGTTAGAATTCTTTGAGGAGTGCCTAACTCATCACAGGTCCCAATAAATATTTGTTACGTTAATTGCAGAGATTGAACCCAGCGCCTTTGTACTGAGCTATGTCCTCAGCACCCTCCACCCACTTTTAATGTTTTGGGGTTTGTTTTTTTTTTTTTTTTGGTACCGGGGATTGAACTCAAGACCTTGTGCTTGTGAGGCAGGTGTAGTGTGCCACTGAGCTAAATCCCCAGCCCATTCCGCCTTTTAATGTTGGCCAAGGTCTTGGTAAATCACTGAGTTGCTCAGGCTGGGCTCAGATTTGTGATCCTCCTGCCTCAGCCCTCCACAGTGCTGGGATTATAGGTGTGCACCACCATGCCTGGCTAAGTGTGTGTATTTTTTTTTAAGTGTTTATATTTTAAGAGTAGAAAAGAAGAGCTGGGTATTTAGCTCAGTGGTGTCTCACAAGTGCAAGGTCCTGAGTTCAATCCCCGGTACTAAAACAAAGAGTAGAAAAGAATATATAGCAATGATAATACTATTAGGACAGTGGATAAATCTACATTAATTTCTGGGTATCCTATAATTTTTAATAATGTAAATAAACTTTAAATCATTTGACATAATTTTAAGGTAATTTGTAAATTTTGGTATGTATATACATTTATATGTGTACTTTTTTTTTTTCACTACTGGGAATCAAACTTGGGACCTTGTATTTGTGAGGCAGGTGGTAGCACCACTGAGCTGAATCCCCAGCCCTATTATTTATTTATTTACTTATTTTTTATTTTTGTGACAAGGCCTCACTATGTAGTTGAAGCTGAGCCCCAAAACAGTGGCGCATGTGTGTAATCCCAGCACTCAGGAGGCTGAGGCAGGAGGATCTCTGTGAGTTCGAGACCAGCCTGGGGTACATAGTGAATTCCAGGTCAGTCTCAACTATATAGTGAGACTGTGTCTCAAAAATCCAAAAAAACAAACAAACAAACAAACAAAACAAAACAAAACAAAAAAACAAACCATGATCACACACACTTGTAATCCCAGCACTCAGGAGGCTAAGGCAGGAGGATTGCTGTGGGTTTGAGACCAGCCTGCATAGTGAGTTCAAGGCCAGCTTGAACTACATAAAAATACCCTGTCTAAAAAAAAAAAAAAAAGAGAGGGGCGCACAACTATAATCTAAGGATTTAGGGAGGCAGAGGCAGGAGGATCACAAGTTTGTGTACTGGCTGGGCAGCTTGGTGAATGAGACACTGCCTAAAAATAAAAAAATCATAATTATTAAAGGAAGGTGAGGATATACTGAGTAGCTCAGTGGTAGAGCACCCACCTGGTTTGATCCCGTACTCAGAAAAAAAATTCTTCTCTCCCTCCTTCCCCTTCCTCTTACCCTTACCTTTCCCCTCCCTTCCTTGTTGCTGTCCTCCCTCCCTTCCTTTGTTCCTTTTCTTCCTTCCACCTTCCTGTGCTGGGATCTGATGTAGAGCCTTGTGCATACTACTGCTGCAGTATACGCCCCGCCCAAAACATGATCTTTGCTTCTTTTTTTGTGTGTGTGCTGGGACTGAACTTGGGACCTTGTGCTTTCAAGGTAGGCAGCAGAACCACTGAGCTAAATCCCTGGCCCTGTTTCTTTCTTTTCTTTTCTTTTCTTTTCTTTTTTTTTTTGAGATGGAATCTCTAGTTCAGCCTGGCCTTGAACCTGCTATGTAGCCCAGAACTTTCAGTGATCCTCCTGCCTCAGCCTCTTGAGTGCTGGCATTTAGGCATGCACCATCATGCCCTGCTGTCTTTCTAGTGATTATTGTCCACTTTTGCTTAAAATCTTGATAGCTCACTTTCCTCTCTTCTTCACTACAGTTGCGGCAGTCACAGTCCTACTGCACGGACACAGAATGTCTTCAGGAATGTAAGTACCAGCAGGAGAGCCAGAAGGTTGGCCTTGGGGCAGGATTAAAGGCTGAGTGTTTGCTCTTTAATGAGATGGCTCTCAGTAATGTATGTGCGATTTGAAGATTACATTTTTAAATTAAAATTTGTTTTTACCTGCTTCAGAAACAAACCATGTCATTGAAGAAAGTTGTAAAATCACAGATAAGAAAGTAAAAACTTACAGAATGCTACAGGATAAGCATCACTGACAACCTTGTGTATACCCTCCCTGGCAGACACATCCTTCCTACAAATACATTTGTAGCACGGAACAGCCCTTCCCAGCCCTGTCTGTGTCCACTGGCAGGCTTGGAACTTCTGAGGGAGGGGAGAGGCCTTGCTGTCCGAGGTTTGGAGGCTTTTGGGGCTGTGGAGTTCATTCCCTTAGCCCTCCATTAGCATTCCCGGGAGAGTATGGTGGGCCAGAGGTTTCTCCTCCTTATGGGCAGGGGTGAAGGTCAAGTTTGAACCAGAGAGGAAGGTGAATCCTGTGTGGTAAATGTAGTTGAGACTTGGTGTCCATTACGTGACACATCCATTTTACTGATACTGAGAAATAGCTTGAAGGGTGCCCTGCAGGAACTAACAAACTAGCATTAAGCCAATCTAATCCTGCTCCATAAGCTTGTGAGAAGGGAAATAGAGCTGGGTATGGTGGTGCATCCCTGAAATCCAGTACTGCCACTGAGGCTGAGGCTGGAGAATCACCAGTCTGACCTACACAGTGATTCCAGGCCAGCCTGAACTGTTGAACCTATTTCAGAGACCCTATTTCAAAAAAAAAAGAAAGAAAGAAAAGGAAAGTATGACATTGACAGGATGGTGCATGGTGCAATTTGGCACAATTAGCTTTATTTTTTTAAGGTTTTTTTTAGATTTATTTTTTGCAGCTCTGTGAATAGAACTTAGGGCCTCATGCATGCCAGGCAAGTGCTCTACTCTTGAGCTATACCCCAGACCACAATTAGGTTTCCTTTTTTTTTTTGGTACCGGGGACTGAACTCAGGTCCTTGTGCTTGCGAAGCAGTCACAGGAACCACTGAGCTAAATCCCCGGCCCACAATTAGGTTTCACATATACTTACAGAAATAGAATCACTCTGGGTTGTTTTTCACAACTGTATATACAAAGATTTGTATATCTTTAAAATATTTATTGGGAGGGTCAGGAATTTAGCTCAGTGGCACTGCGCCTGCCTCGCAAGCATAAGATCCTGAGTTTGATCCCTGGTACTATAT